CTTTCTTGTATGTTAGTTTTATTGCTTTATCAATAATTCATTTGCACAGCCCATTCCATAAATTCTTATGCTAATAGTCTTTGAGCTTTATGTTTCTAGATGCTGGCACTACAGAGCAAAAATGACCTTCTCTTGTTTTAAATCAGGACAAAATTATACAAAGGTAAATAAAGCAATGATTTCCATGACATCTAGACTCTACGGACTTTATTTGAATTGTGTTCCACTTTAACACAAGTTTTGTATCCCAAAGTTTTACGGATTATATGGTTCATATATAATGAACAATCACTTTTTAAATTCAATTCCTATATAACAAGTTCCACCACTCATTTTAGTGATTAATTTGCTCTAATTCACTGTCTATACATCCCTCATAGACATGCCCAAGCCTCCCAGGGAAGACCTTTTCATCTTGCCTGATGAGTACAAGTCTTGCTCACGGCACAAGCGCTCTCTTCTGAAGTCCCATAGGAATAAAGAACTGAATGTGGAGACGTTGGTAGTGGTCGACAAAAAGATGATGCAAAATCATGGCCATGAAAATATCACCACCTATGTGCTGACAATACTCAACATGGTAAGAACATCCATCGTGTGTAGGCTGAGTGTATAGTTACACCTAATGGGGTGTGTGTGCATATGTGTTTTACATTCTGCTTTTTACTTATGGATTTATGTCTCATACATAGAAATATTGTATCTGTGGTAAGTCCTTCAGTTTTACTATGCTTGGATCAAAAGAGCTATTTTTAGAACTTCAGAGAATAAATTAAGGTGGATGAAGAATTTGATCCTCTCTGTAAGCCAGTAACCTGTTTTGATGTACTAATGTCTCAGTTCAGAAATCTAAAAGTGTATGCTGAGACATTTTGGTGCGTCAAATCTGTTTATTACCACTGTATGTGTGGTTTTTTAGATGGTTACATAGAAATACTCATTTTAGGATTGTTAATGTCCAGCAGTTGAGTATACATTATTTTATCTAGAAAAGCAGAAAAACCATATAGCTTTTTAGAATGTCATCTCAGATAAGGAGTGTCTCTCCCCAGAGTGGCAGCTATAGTAATTATGGAAGAGTGGTAAGAGGTATCTAAGGCTCATTTCACTTAAGTGACATCTAGGTAACAGTAGATAAAATCTTGGGTCACCAAAATGTGTTTTAAAAAATAGTTAAAATTGACATATAACATTCTGTAAATTTAGGCTGTATAAAGTGATAATTTGACATACATATATGTGGCATAATGATTACCAAAATAAAGTTACGTAGCACATCTATCACCACACATAGATCCTTGTGTTTGTGTATGTATGTGGTAAGAACTTTTAAGACCAAAAGAAAAATAGTTGTGCCCTGGCCGGTGTGGCTCAATTGGTTGAGCATTGTCCCATGCACCTAGAGGTCACTTGTTTGATTCCTGTTCAGGGCACATGCCCGGATTCTGGACTCAATCCCCAGTAGGGGACATACAGGAGATAACAGATCAGTATTTCCCTCTACCTCTCCTTTCCTCTGTCTCTAGAAAACAAAATCAATAGAAACATATTTTAAAAAGAGTTGTGATAACAATATTTTAAAAATCTACTTTATGTTCTGCCTTAATGGACAGAGTACCCCTAAGTGTGTTTTATATTCCATTATGCCACATGCCTATTATGGCTACGGTCATTTTTGTTAGGTTGACGCATGTGGTGTATGACCTCCTAGGGAACTGAGGGAGACAGTGACACTGAGGCACCTACAACTACACAGCCACAGGGCTGAGGACAGCAGGGCCCGGGATGCTCTGATTTGAGCAAGTGTCACCTCTATTATGTATAACTTTTCTAATGTTTCTACACCTCAAGTGTAGAGTGGGGAGAAGTATATCAGTGCCAAGTCACCTCCCTATTGTATCCCACACTGCCGACTATCATCGCTTATCACCCCAAATGCCATCTCAAATGTTTGTGATCATCATCTCAAATGTTTGTCTCTTTCTTTAATCATCTTTCCATGTTTTCTTTTATTTCTCATGCCCTCTTGGTCTTTTCCCAGCATTTGTTTTATGCTTCTGGAATCTCTTGCCAGGAGAGCATGGGGAGTACTTACCTATGCAGTTATCACTATGAGTAAAATATCCTCTATTCAATTCAATTAAGGACACTTTGCAATTCAGAGACCTTGTAATCCCTACATTGGGGTTTGAGAAGAACTGGAACCTCCCTCCCCAAACTTCAGTTTTTCACTCCCAGCACCAATAACAGGGATTCAACAATTGGTCTTTTGGTAGAAAGATATTCATATACCTGTCTGTTGGGCAGTATAAGAAACATAATGATACTACATTACTAGGAAACATGAGGATTGACCTTCAGCATCAGAACTCCAGGCAGACTGAGGGCTGGGGGAAAATGGTGTCACTTATGGAGACTGACATGGATTACCTGTCTTTTTCAGGTGTCTGCTTTATTCAAAGATGGAACAATAGGAGGAAACATCAACATTGCAATTGTAGGTCTGATTCTTCTAGAAGAAGAACAGGTATTCTGTCTCTAAAACATCAACTTTTCTCCCAGAAAAATAAATGCAAAATAACGCTTTGTTTTCTTTAATATGGATTCTTTAATTCTATTTCCCTTGGGGACAAAAAATTTTAATATTTTGTGTCTTATGCAATAGGTTGCTTGTCAGTTCCTTTAATGGTTATTTGACAGTTTGTGTTTTTGTGCAGAGGTAGTAAGAAGTACTCATGTAATTGCTTTATGAGAAAATGGAATAGAAAAGCTGCCTTTAATATATGGGTGGGAAACACAATTGGGAGACAAAGTGCAAACTGTGTCTTCAGCCACCGTGAGCTTTCAGGATGCCACATGGAACTGAGCCCCTTTTGTCTTTTGCTAGAAGACTAAGAATGTCCTGTAGAGTAGACGTTAAATTGTACTGTGTTGCATTGCATTGCTTTGCTCTGTTGTCTCCCAACTGCTAAAACTGATCCCACTAACCCTCACCATCTTTAATCCTAGGATTTTATTTTCATAGAGATTCTGAAGTGTTGAGCACATTTCTCTCATTACATATAAAAAAAATCAAATTATGCTGGATCTTAGTAGCATTTGGTAAAAGCACCTCCTTTGCCTCCATTCCAGAGTCCCAGTCTAAATGTCCAGACATACATTTCAGTTCACAAGAGGATGCATATGAACATCTTGTGGCATAAGTAACAGGGTGGGCATGTCAGCCATCAAAGGCTCTCGCTTCTATTCTGGCCCAAGGTGTTCATTGACTGGGCATGGGAGAGTGAGCCTGGGACCCGAGTCAGGCACCCTGCATCCAGTTCCACCATTGCTGATGTCTTAGCAGAATCTCCTGTTAGCCATAGTTTATTTATAAAACAAAAGATTTTTAGATGAAATCTAAGATCTAAGATGCCTACGGGCTTTAATATTCTGGGGCTCTGCTCTTTTCCTGGGCAGAGTGGGGGTGGCTAGGACATGCCTATTTCTAGCCTGAATAGTCAGGAAGATACAACCTCATTGTCTTTGTATGTGTCTGGGGAGGGGGTGCTGAGCCAGCAGGGTTTCTCAGGTGACAGGTTAATTATTCCTTGTATTAAATTGTTTTCACCTTGGCATTCCTCCAAGCTGCAAAGAATAGGAGAGGTTATCTTTTGATCGTACACCTGTGTTAACTTTGATTAATGCAGTGTTCCTGGAAATTGCCAGCTGAAGAATGGAAGGCATGCCCCAGTTTTGATGTACAACATCTAGCTCAGGTGTATTTGACTTTCTGGAAAGACAAAAACTTGTAAAGAGAAAACATATTGTATGACTGAAGGACAAAAATTCCAATACAACATTCCAGTCATGAGAGCCTTACACAAGTTGTCCTAGAATTGAGGTATTTGATCTGGTTTTCTGTGACCATTATAGGAAAATATAGCATTGCTATAAATAAGGTTCACACCTTTCATTGCAGCCTGTTCTGGATGTTCCTGCAGCTCCCGAATTCTTCATTTCCCAAGTGTTCACAAGTTCTTCTGATATTTCACAGTTACTTTACTAGACTTTGGTATATGCAAATAAGGTCACATGTTTTCTATGTGGTTTCCTTCCAGATCCAGTCTATTTTCCAGAAATAAAGCTTTCCCAATTGACTTGCCTTCCTCATGAATATGATGCCTCTGTGGTGACTTAGTAACACTGCAATAATAAATATTAAAAGGGCTATAAGTTGGAAATCCCACTTGCTCAACTTGCTAATGAAGTAAACATGCCGTGACTAGGTGTGCTTTGTGTATGTGTTTAGTCACATGCAAATGATCCTATTGCAGCCGTGGGCAAACTACAGCCCGCGGGCCCCAGCCCGTTTGAAATGAATAAAACTAAAAAAAAAAAAGACTGTACCCTTTTATGTAATGATGTTTACTTTGAATTTATATTAGTTCACACAAACACTCCATCCATGCTTTTGTCCCCCCCCCCCTCCCCGCCCCGTCCCGTTTAAGAACCCATTGTGGCCCTAGAGTCAAAAAGTTTGCCCACCCCTGTCCTATTGTCTTATATAATTTTGCAAACTGTTTTACAAAGATTTTTAACGCAAAAATTTGATACACAAAAATAATCTTTCATGGCTCACTGAAAATGCATTCAGGGTCAGCTAAATGCATCCCAACTGTTTTAGCAAAGAACTAGAGAAATGTACACTAAATCTCTATGGTTTTATGTAACATACTTTTTTTGTGTTGTAATACATAAAATGGATGCATTAGTACATATGCTATTTGGATCCATCTATGTATTTGAAATCCAACTTAATGAGAGTTTGTTGTGATACCGATGCTAGTAACAATTGCATTATACTCTGTTTTCTTTCTGTTCTCATGGTGGTCTTTCTCTCTCTTGCATAGCCAGGGCTTGTGATAAGCCATCACGCGGATCACACCTTAAGTAGCTTCTGCCAGTGGCAGTCTGGTTTGATGGGGAAAGATGGAACTCGCCATGACCATGCCATCTTACTCACAGGTCTGGACATATGCTCCTGGAAGAATGAGCCCTGTGATACTTTGGGTAAGATCATTCAGCAGAGTTTTGAGGACCACATATGTGCTATGAGCCTTCTGTGGCCATATATAGTGAATTCTTGACCCTATTCCCAATCTATAAGTGGTAGCCACTGCTGAGTACAATTTTAAAGAAGAAAATGGCATCTTTGTATGGACTTTGGCCAAAAATAAAAGTTTGAATTTATTCATCAAAAGTGATTACTTCACAAAGGAATGTTCCTAAATATATTCAAGAGTTTTTGTCTATTCTAACTTAAGAAATAAATTTTTTCATTTCTTCTTCTGAGAGAATGGGGTCAATAGAGTCAAGGGTGTCTTATTATGTGGCAGAAATGGTACATTTATGAATATTATAGAGGTATTACAACTATATTATATTCCTAATTTTTTAAAATTCCTTTATTAATGTTTCAATCATAACAATTTTATATGTTTATAAGGCTGAGTAGATCTTAGAGGCAACACTTTGACATTTTTTCCAAATAGTGTTAAGCATAGTATGCTCCTAACCAGAGCTCTCCTGGACATTTTTCCTAACTTTCCATTTTCCCTAGGATTTTAGTGAGAAAGATCCTTTATTATAAAACCACTCATATAGGACTTGGTTTAATACAGTGGGGCCTTGACTTACGAGTGTCCCGACTAATGAGTTTTTTGAGATACCAGCTGTTTCTCCGCCGATTTTTTGCATTGAGTTGACAGAATAATTTGAGTTAATGAGCTCCTTCATGAGCTCGGTCTCGGAACGAATTAAACTCGTAAGTCAAGGCCCCACTGTATAGGTTAACCTGACTGCTTGTCCTAGGAAGACCTGCTTATGAGGTTGGCCCTTAGCTGGCTTCTGAGAACTTAGATTTCAAGAAGGTTCCCATCATCTTACCTCACAAGTGTGGCTCACTTTGACAAAATTGTTTGAACAAATAATGCAAATTACATGGAACACCTGCTTTCCTCCTAGGAGTCTGGAATTTGGGTCCATGCCAGGCAGAGGCTGCCTCTGTGATCAGCCCCAATAAAACCCCTGGGTCCTGAGTCTTTAATGAGCTTCCCTGGTGGACAACAGTCTACACCTGTTGTGACTTGTTACTAGGGAAATCAATCCTGTCCTGTGTGGATTTACTGGGGGATGGTTCTGGAAGCTCATGCCTGCTTCCCCCAAGCTTCTCATGTACCTGTTTCCTTTGCTAATCTTTCTCTCTATCCTTTTGCCATGCTAAATCATACTTATGAATATAAAAAATTTTGAGTCTATGTGTGTCCTCCAGGCAAATCTTTGAACCTGTGTGGCCTTGGGACTTCCTGACACACCCATTCCCTATAGCACTTTTTATTTCATCTTTTGAGAATACATATGCTTATAGAAAGAGACAGAAATCCTCCTCCATCTGCAGTGAAACCCCTCTCCTACTGTGTCCAAGTTGTAGCCTGTGATATGAACATTTCATAGAGCCCTGAAGAGTTTTCCATGCAAAGGACAGATCCCCTTCTCCCACATTGTTAAGAGCCCTTTTTGTTAAGAGTCTAAAGGTTTCCTATTTCAGATTTCAGCAGATGGATATGAGAACCAAATTTCCCTAAAGGGTGGACAGTAAATTAGCCTGTATAATACACCCTCTTCCTTTATTTTATTGAAAACTGTTATATATTTGTTTGACCTTTATGCCCATAGGATTTGCGCCCATAAGTGGAATGTGTAGTAAATATCGCAGCTGTACAATTAATGAAGATACAGGTCTTGGACTGGCTTTCACCATCGCCCACGAGTCTGGACACAAGTAAGTACATGTGCAAGGGAGGGTCGAGCCCAGGGTCCTTTCCCTCTTGTTTGGTTGCCATAGAAATATGGATTCATTAGGTCAGGTCTGTAAGGGGGGTTCACATATATCCAAGGAGAATGTCATTGACAGGCTGTAATATTGTCACTTAGGTACAGTGGGGCCTTGACTTACGAGTGTCCCGACTAACGAGTTTTTTGAGACACGAGCCATCTCTCAGCTGATTTTTGCTTTGAGTTGCGAGCTAAAATTCGGGTTACGAGCTAGCTTCAGATACCCCACTGCTAGTTGGCACAGTGAACGTCTCAGTGAACGCCACAACATCAGCCCAGCATCACGTGTCTCACTCATTCACTTTAAGATTTGACATATGAGTAATTTGAGTTATGAGCTCCATCACAGAATGAATTAAACTCGTAAGTCAAGGCCCCACTGTACTTCTTTTGTTTTTATCTTAATGCCTTGTCCTGCACATTCAGTGCATGTGTTTATACTTTCCTCACCCTGTTCTTCCCTTATATTCCTGCTCATACTTGCACCTGCCATTGCAGACACTTGTATCAGTCCTGCTCCTCTGTCCTGTGTTAATCCTATTCCATGGTCCGCTCCTGTTAGGGGATCCAGACAACAGAGGGCAGTAACAGGCCCTTCTATTGTTAACTTGTTACTCTTGAGTTCATGTTCTCATATCTCTTTTAGAATTTGGAGAGGTTTTTTTTTTTTTATTGGTGTGCTGAGCAGAGTTTGGGGAGTGCAGGTATTAACAGGATATTAGGCCCAGTAGGAGATGGTTTGCTTCCCATGTTCCCATTTTCCAAGTGTTGCCGGTTTTGAAATGGGGCAGCGTCTTTTAGAATTTGGAGAGGTATTTTTTTTTATTGGTGTACTGAGCAGAGTTTGGGGAGTGCAGGTATTACAGGATACTGGGCCCAGTAGGAGATGGTTTGCTTCCCACGTTCCCATTTTCCAAGTGTTGCCGGTTTTGAAATGGGGCAGCATCAGGGCAAGCAGTGAGCCTGGCAGCTTGGCACAGACAGATGCTGCTGCTGGACAAACAGCTCTCAGCAATGGTGGCTTGTCACGAGTGGCATCTTTTTATGTGAAAAGCTCATATTTATTCCTGTTGA